TGACAATCTTGTGATTGGTATGTCTAAACCATGTATATTTAATATGTTTTTGACGTGGTCAGATTTAAGTCTACTATTCTTTTTCTTTTTGTCTCTCAGTTTTTCTTGATCTGCTACCCTTCTCCTGCCTTCTTTTAAATTAGTTGAACTTTTAAATTCCATTTTAATTTATCTACTGGCTTTTGGGTATCCTTTTTTGTTTGTTTGTTTGGTTGGTTGGTTGGGTTTTTTACTGGTTGTTCTGATGATTACAATGCACATACCTAAACTTTCACAGTGTATTTAGAGTTAATATTTTAGCACTTCATATGAAATTTGTACCATCATAGAGGTCCCTTTAACCTCACCCAGTGACTTTTCCTTTATAGCTGCTGTAGTGTTACATCTACATATATTAAAACCCCATCAGAAAATGTTATAATTTTTCCCTTCAACAGCCATACATATTTTTAAAAACTTAAGAATAGAAAATTACCTCACATTTTTCTTATCTGTTGTTCTTTCTTCATCCTGAAGTCCCAAGTTTCCTTTTGGCATCATGTCTCTTAAGCTGAAGAACTGTGAGAACCCCCCACGGCAAATAGTCATAGATAATTAGCCTTACAAGAGCCACTTAGCAGACTACATTTAAGCAGAATGCTAGCCATAAAGAAATCTTTTTTAACTTGGACTCACAGCCTAGTTCTTGGGAAAACACGGCAGAGCTAACCATGCCTCCTCTGAAGTCACATCTATCTGAGGAGACAACATCCAGCATGTGGAAACCAGATAACACCCGCATCCCAAGGATAAGTTGGAGAGTTACAGGACTGACCATGACATAATGAAGAGCCTGGAGTCTGCAAAATTGCATATAGCAGCCTCCTGATGGGAATAACTTCCCCTTTTGTTTCCCACACTTTTCCCCTTAAAAGCCATTGCTGGGGATCCTGGGCCTTTGAGACAGTTTTAGTCTGACTGTCTCCCAGGCCTGATAATAAAGGCTTCCAATCCTTGCATCGACATCTGACTTACGAGTCTTCTGTCTCTGGCAAAAGGGTGGCTTGAACCTGGCTCCTATAACACTTCATCTCTCGGTTCTGCCAGCAGAGAATTCTCCTAGTTTTTCTAGTTTTCCTTCATCTAAGAAATTCTTCATTTCGCCTTCTTTCCTGAAGGATATTTTTGATGGATTTAGAATTCTGCATTGACATTTCCTTTTCTTCAGCACTTTAACGATGTAGTTTCCTTCTCTTCTGCTCTCCTGGATTTCTGATAAGAAGTCTGCAGTTTTTGCATTATTATTCTCCTATATGTAATACGTTGGTTGGTTTTTGGTTTTTGGTTTTTCCCTCTAGCTGCTTTCAAGATTTTTTCTTCACCTTTGATTTTAAAAATTTAATTATGAAGTGTCTGGATATAGTTTTTCTTGAGTTTATCTTATTTCTGATTTGCTGAGTCTCTTGAACCTGTAAATTTATTTTTTTTAACCAAATTTGAGATGTTTGGGCCATTATTTCTTCAAATTATTTTTCTGCATTGATCTCTCTCTTATTTCCCTCTGAGGATACAAAGGCAAGAATATTACACCTTTTTGTATTGTTCCATAGGTTCCTGAAGCTCTGTTCATTTTTTTTT